GCCCCCCCCATCCATCCCCCCCGCCCCGTCCCCAGCCTGTCCTCCCAGCCCATCCTCTCATCCCACAACCCCCACCCCCCAACCCATCCTCCCTGGCTTTGCAGTTCCCTGAGCCTGAGGCCTCTCTGGCTTGCAGATCTGCACTCGCTGGTCCTACCCACTCATCAGAGGCCCCCAGGTTGCACCCTGCCTCACCTGTCTCTCCTTTCTCTCCCCCCAACCCTCCCACTGGCCCCAGACAGCTGCCCATTCCCCTGGCCCCACCTCCCAGTCACACCCAGCCTCACCGGGTCCAGTGGGAGCTTGCCTCCTGCACACAGGGTGAGAAAACAGCCCTGCCCCGCCTGGCTCTCACACACAGAAATCATTGCAAGGCACACCACGCCACACCAGGGTCCTGGTCCCACACCAGGCCACCAGGCCCCCTCAGCTAGCTTCCTGCAAACCCAAGCCGGCCTCTCCCCCCCCATCCCTCCTCTTTCCTCGGGCCTTAGCACAGAGTGGACGGGTCAGGGGTTTTCTCTAGTGCCCTCCCCACGGAGGGGACCCCTGGGTCACAGCTAGGAGCCCACACCTTAGCCCAGGTCTGCTCTGGAGCTGGGGCAGGGGCACGAGGGCTATGGTTGGTGGAGGACCAGCCACTCCGGCCTTGGGGGTGGGGGCACAGCGACCAGACTCTGCTCAGGGTCTCTCCTCCGGGCCAGTTGACAAGACCCAAGAGGCTGGGGGGCATCAGGCCTGCGTGTGGCCTCGAAGGCCATCTGCACTGCTCACCCTGATCCAGCTCCTGGGCACTGCAGTGGGTGGGGAGGAAGGTGGAGGGAGCAGGAGAGGGGAGCAGAAGGGAGGGGAGCCAGGAGGGACGGAGGCTTCTGGGGAGTCACCAGCAGCCGCAGGAGCCAGTGGGCAGCGGGCAGGCGGCTGCTGAGGTCAGCAGCTCAGAAACAGGGCGCACTGGAGGCTGCAGGCACGGGGAGGTCTTCAGTGTGTTCCCTGGCCCCTGCCTCTCCCGGGGCCCCCCAGCCTGGGCTGAGGTTGCAGGAGTACAGCTCCCCTGAGATCTCATGGGGGTGCCTCTGCCCCCATAAGTGAGGCCAAGAGATGGCACAGGGCTGGCAGCCTTGGAAGCCCAGAGCACGGGCTCAGTGCCCTCGGGCCTCTATGCCTCCCTGCGGCTATGGGGTGGCTGTAACACCCCCTTTGGGGGTCATTACAAGGGTCCACCAGCTGATATAAAGAGGCGTGAGTTGGAGCTGCATAAGAATAAATTTTCTTTTTGGTGTCGTGAGCCCATTTTACAGATTAGGAAACCGAGGCAGTGAGCAGTTAAACCATAGCCTGCTCCCATTCAGAGCCGGTCCAGGAGGAAAAGTGGGCAAGAGAAGGAGCCACAGAGCTGCCAGAAGGGGCAGGAGGGACATCCAGTCCAAGCCTGAAGAGCGGCCACTATGTGGCCACGGCAGGAGAGCGTGGGCAGCTCCCTCCTGTGCTCTTGGTGACTGGGAGGGGACTTTCCCGGGAGGTTCTGAGCTGTTGCACACCCCGCTGGAGGCTGGGGTCAGCCGTCTGTGGAGGGGCCAGACCGCTGTAGCATAGCTAGAACATCAGTCTGCTCAGGACCCTCTCGAACACCAAGAACGTCCCATGAAGGGTCATGTCACAGATCGCAGTTACAAGGCAGAACAGGAGGCCATAGTCAGCACAGCCAGGCCAGAAATAGCTCCGAGCGGGGGTGGGAGCCAGTGGTGTCCACACACCGCAGAGGGTCAAGGCACCCGTCACGGCTGCACCCATACCCCTCCCATCCCTGCCAGCCCCCCACTCGCGATGGGCTCACCATCCACCCCCGTCGTCCATCTGTCCCCCCTTGGTCATCGTTGTTTCTCATACTCACCACCCACCTTCCGTCCGTCCTCCAGGCATAGACATGCGCGGCGGCAGCACACGTGGCCAGGGCGTTTCCTGGTCCCCTTCTCTGGCTCAGGTGCCAGGGAGAAGGGTGGCAGCCGCTCCCGTGAGGCAGCCCACCCTCAATAGAGCCCTGCGTCTCCAGGGGTGTGGCTACCAGCTCCCTGCCCGGCTGTGCCCCTCAAGGTCCCCTCCTTATTGATCTTTTCAGGGCGCAGCTGTGGGGCAGGGCAGGGCGGGCTGGCCAGGTGGGTAATGGGCAAGGTGACCTACCGTGGCAGGAGGGTACTGGACACAGGGCTGAGCAGTTCCAAACACCAGGCCAAGCTGCGTGCAGTGGGGGAAACTGAGGCCCACTGTGGGCAGAGCCGGCCTCCTGACTGTGCTGTGCACGGGTGGACCCAGGGTGAGCAGGCCAGGTCCCTCTGTCTGGTGAGCTCTCCCAGGGGCTAGTGTATTTAGCCGTTTTACAGGTGAGGGAATGAGGCTTGGTGGGGGATGGGGGGACGTCTCTTGCTCACAGCCCAGGAGCAGGTAGGATTCCCAGCCCTGTGGTGTCCAGTTGCTGAAAAGCCTTGCTAGGCAGTAAAAAGTTAAAGCTCCCCCACCCCTACCTCACCCATCAGCCCCACCTGGAACCCAAAATTTCCAGCTGACACAGCACCTGGGAGGCAGCTCTGGGCCCTTACAAGGCAAGGAAACAGAGAGTGGCGGGGGAGGGTCTGGCCTGCCTGGGAGCTGGAGGCCCTGGATGCAGAGCCCACCCACTAGTGTGTTCCCCAGGGGGCGCCCTGTGGCTGGGATGTGGTCCTGGCTGTGACACCTGTGGTCCAGGAGCGGGCTGACCACAGGTGTCACGTGGGGGATTGAAGGGGCCAAAGAGCCCTGAGGTGGCCCCGGACAGCAGGCAGATGTGAAGGGAGGAGCCCTGGAGCTCACTGCCAGGGTGCGGGTCCAAGAACACCCTCTGATGGGCAGGACACTGGGCCCAGCCAGCAGGCCTCAGGAATCCATCCTTGGCCAAGGCCAGGCTGCCAGCCTGGAGGCTCTGGAGCCTCGCCCTGTCCAGTCCACATGCTCTTCACCCAGAGCCCACCTCCCTTGGCTCCCACCCAGGAGCCCCACATGGAGGGCTCATGACACCAGCATCTGAAGCCTCGTCCAGCCCCAGGACCCTGCCCATGCAGGCCACACCCACACTTGCAGCAGAGACTCAGCCAGCATTTCCTCCCCCCAGAGGCTGGACACCCCCGTCCCCC